AGACTACTGATTTACTAAGCACACTATTAAAAGACACACTGACTCATGGATTCTACAAAGCAGGGACAGAAATATAAAGCATTCACATTAGGAAAATAAAGACATACTATTAGAATAAAGTACAAATAATTGAACTAGCAATTTAGCACTGTTTAACGCATTTAATTTTTTTCTTCCATAACCACTGAGAATTCTTTTTCATATCTACCACAATCTTCACCAAAATCTAGCTTATCTTACCTTTAAAGCAATCACTGAGAATAGGATCTCTGAAGCCATTTAAAAAAGAATGACAAATAGGAAAAACAATTAGATACGCAGCAAACTTTTTTTTTTTAAATTTTGGATAATTCTGCTGCAACAGATAAAGGCAGAATTCAGAAATGTGAAATTTCTTACTATTACCATTTTCTATGACCTCACTGTGTACAGTTTTAAGCATGGCACTCTCCTGGAACGGTGCATTAATAGATTCCTCCCACTGGCTCTATCATGATGCTTCAGCTTCCTTCCGCCCTGTGTACCTTTCATGAGCTCATGTTATCAGAGGCATTATGGTCTCCTTCCTGATGCACCTGTACTCCAGAGCCTTCCACCGTGACAATAAGATGGACTCTAAGTCCTTTAAAGGAGTATGGAGAAAGAACAGTGACTTTGTACTGTTGCTCCATGGGCGGTATACCTGCACAGCTATTTTAACTGGCTTACATGCTGTTGAAGACCACGTATTAGGGTCTTTCTAAAGTTGTATTTCATTATTTGTAAAAAGAAACTAAAAAAAAAAAAAAAAAATTCAGAGCCAAACAAAACCAAACCACCATTTCAGATTATTTAGATGATACATAAATGAGACAACACATTTTTTCCTCCACATTTCTGTGTCACATCTTTTTTAAACATGCGTAATGATGAAACATTTTGATTATTCAGTCATAACTAGTCTTCTGGCACTGAGCTCCACCTGCTGACAAGTCTTTCAAGTATTGCAGAGTCTGCATACCAAGTCTCAATTTTATCAGTGGTTCCAGTATAATGCTGCAGTATGCAAAATAAACCTACATGAAACATTTATATAGTGAGAAAACCATACAGTTTTAATGTCTTTGCATCTTTATAATATTTGCTTTTACTATGTAAAGAAAAAGGAGAAGAAATAGTAAAGTGGTATACGTATTTCACTGTATTATTGCTAAACAAAATTAATAACTATTTTATCTTAACTAAATTCATTGCCAAGCTTAAGCACTCCGTGAAGATTTCCTGCTTTGTAACATTCCCTCTTTCAATACTGATGCTGTAATTTTAAAGTCTTACTCTGTGTGTTGGTTTTGGCTGGGCTAAAGTTAATTTTCTTCACATTCGCTCGTATGAGGCTATGGTTTGAATTTGTGCTGGAAACAGAGTTGATAACAGAGGGATGTTTTAGGTACTGCTGAGCAGGGCTTACACAAAGTCAAGGCCTTTTCTGCTCCTCACCCCACCCCACCAGCGAGGAGACTGGGGGGGCACAAGGAGTTGGGAGGGGACACAGCTGGGACAGTTGACCTCAACTGACCACAAAGACATTCCAGACCATGTGATGTCACACTCAGCATATAAAGCTGGAGGAAGAAGCAGGAAATGTTTGGAGTGATTCCATCTGTCTTCCCAAGTAACTGTTACACATGATGGGGCCCTGCTTTCCTGAAGGTTATTGAACACCTGCCTGACAATGGGAAGTAGTGAACTAATTCCTTCTACTGATTTGCCTGTATGTAGTTTTTGCTTTACCAATTAAGCTATCTTTACCTCAAACCAGGAGTTTTCTCGCTTCTACTCTTTCGATTCTCTCCCACATCCTACCAGGGAGAAATGAGCAAGTGGCTGTGTGGTGCTTAGTTGCTGGCTGAGGTTAAACCACAACACTATGAAATGCAAACCACCATCACTGCACTTAATTACCTGAGTAAACTTTTAATTGGCACTGAAATTTTCCAAATATTGCTGATGTTTTTATTTCTAATCAGGTCATTGGACATATAAAGGTTTCATTGTTGTTGTCTTCTTTTTTTTAATTACAGTGGATTATTGCCATGTTCTGTTGATCATATTAACACAAATAATAGCATATGCATTTTAGGACAAATGACAGGCCACACATCCATTGACTGAACATCTAAACACTGTAAAGTTAGTTCAAGCTTCCAGTTACTGGTTAACTTTTATAGTGACACTGTATATAACAATTTGTATACTACCACATTTTGGAAAAAAACCCAGCATTTACCAGGAATAACCAGCTTTTTCTTAGCATCTATCTCCTCACTTTCATATACACGTAGAAAGAGAAGTTAACTATGATTCTCCCAGTTACACAGAGAATAGTATCATAGCTGCATAACTCTAGGGGCTCGAAGACATTGTTTTAAACCTGCAGCACATTCAGCATCAAAATTCTCTCTGTGTTGCATGGTTATCTAGGTAGAAAGGCATAAATGCCAGAATTGTTAAATGCAATGTTCAGGAATGGCCAAAAATAGATCTTAAACTCCTTGCTATGCCATCACAATTGAATAAAACAGAATCATTCAGCAATTTCCTTTTCTCTTATAGTGTGTATATGAACACCAATAAGCAGCAAACATTCTACAAAAAAATAAAATAAATTGACCAACCCAATTAGTACTGAAGACACTAACAAAATATCAAATGTACTACAGCTGTTAGAGGCAAAAAAAGAACAAGGAAACAAAGGAAGTTATAACACACATAATATAACCCTGTTTATAAAAACACATGAAGCAGCATTTCAAAATTTCATTCCTTGTTAGTATTCCATTGTACTGTTACCTAACAGATGGAAAACAAAACAATTTGCAAACTATTCCACTACGAAATTGGCTGTATTTATATGATATTGAGAGAGACGTGAAACTTTACAAAGTTGTTTTGTGTATCATACTTGTAATTTTAAATCACTGAAAAAAAAATCAACTTGTGCCTGAACACATGAAAATTTACTTCACATTCATGCTCACAACCACAAGCCAATTATGATTTTGTCATTCTTAGGAAACGAATTTGTAAAACAAGTGCTTACAATGAATTTCTGAAGAGGAATAAATAACCAAATTCAAATGTAGTATCACACAACATTTAGATGAAATGCTCTTAGGTAAGAGAAGAAACCTAAATAGATTTATAGCTGAAGAAACAATGATCTTCCTGAATGATACCAGGATGATCAACAAGCAGCAATATTTCATTTGTGATCATTTAGCACCTGTATAATTTTAAGGAGTTTTACTAAAACAAAATCCATTATAAAAATCACCAGGATGCTTATTTATACAAACAGTCCAACAATTTATTACTTTGTTCATCTTGAGATAGTCAAGACTGCACTCTCAAGATACAACAATTTGAAAAGAAGGTTAAATTAAACTGCAGTTTTATCTACTGCTTTCTAGTAAATTTTACTAGCACAGGCTATCAACTTGCTAGCTAAACAAAACTTAAGTGGTATTTACCTGTCTTAAATAACTTACTCATGGGAAATCACCCAGCACTAAATTCATATGCCGTTATTTTTCATGGTGCATACAAATCATAAGACTAAATCCTATGAAGCCAAAATAGCAACATTTTTCTTACTCTCAGCATATGTAATATATGCAAAAATTTATTTCTTCCATCATTCCAGAAGTCTTGGTATGTACCTCCTCCAACAACAACAACAACAAAAAAATAGAAGATAAGGTATCATAGATAACTTTTATTTCAAAATAATTAAAATGTCAGAATTGTACACTGTGTATTGCACATATATACAAGGATTACTTTCTCCCACTCACTAAAAGAGAGATTGGGACACCAGAAGACAGACTAGTAATCTTGCACTGAGTTGGAAGAACACCATTCTCTTGATTAAACTCACCACCTCAACTAACCATTACAGGCAACATTCATTATCGCTATCACAGGATATTGCATAACACAATGAACGAGACAGCCTACCCCAAAAAGATTCCAAGACTCCTCATCTTTCACAATCATCATCCTGATCCTTCCTAGATCACAACAAGCATACAAGCTTTAGGAAAGAATGTTTTGTACTAGTGAAAGTGGCAGACACCCGCTAGTGCCTTGTAACTATTAAACAGTAGTAAAGGAGCAAGTGAATACTGACGATTAAGTCTAACTACAGAATAGGAGTGGAAGAAAAAGAAACAAACTTGGTTCCACAAATTGGTAAACAAAAGCATTCCTCTCAGATACAACCATTTCATTGTGCAAAGGAAATGGCAGACTAAACCTCTCAAGAAAACAAGTCACAAGCACCTCACACCTAGTCCATGAAAGCAAACATTACTGCTTATCCCCTTAGTAAACAGGTACTGTTTGTTCACTTTTTTATGTGGACTACTATTTCTACACAGAGCTGCATTACAATTCAGAAAAAGCCATCACACAAAATATTGGCAAAGTATTTCTTTAAATTACATTTGGTCTCTTCAATAGCACAAAAGCTTCCTTTTGAGTATTAAGAGCACGTAAAGATTTCAAAATAAGCTGCAAAGAAACCAGTGGGGTTTTTCTGTTTAAAGAAAAGAGTGATTAAGGTATGTAAAATTCATTTGTCAATTACACAACGTGTGCAGTGATTCCAACAGCTTTTACTGTCAGCTTTCTATCCATAGCTGTGAAAGTATTTCTTCAACACAGCCAATGAAATTACCAATAGCTATTCAGTCATGTTTATTAAATATGTTTAAGGATTTACACTTTTGATTATAAGAGAGTCTAATGAGAATCTAAGCATCAAGTGTACCACAGACATAGAGAGGCTGTTAAAAGTTATTGCAACTTAAAGAAAATCACACAACTGAACTGTTTTTCTTCACAAATACAAAGTGAAGATTATTCACTTCAGTCATCGCTGAGTATCTTGATATTCTGAACTCCAGACTAAAGTACAATAGCAAGGCTGCACAATTCAATAAAACAGATGTAAAACTTACCATAGAGGTCACTGATCTGGCATCTTCTTCATAATTCACTACAGGTGGTGGCTCTTTCCCATCATTCTCTTGAACCTTTCGTTCCAGTAGTTCTTTCTGGGCTGCAAATTTTGCTTCAGAGCATCTTAATTGCTGAACTGTTTGCTTAAGTTCTTCCAGTGCTTGCTTTTGGCTCAGCAAGAGTACAATACTGCAGAGAAGAATAACAAAAAATTAATATAAGTGATGTAAAATACATAATTGGTTTCACAAATGCTAAAACACTAAAGAAAACATACAAAAGTATTTGTTTGAAGGCATAAAAGCATTAAGCAATTCTAGAAAATTTTCAAAGCTACAGGACAATGCAAACACCTACTTTGCCATTCGCTTTTCTCAATCTATCACAAAAATCATGTTGTAATAAACATAGATGAAACTACTATTTTCATCCACCTTTGACTGAATTTATGAACACTAGCATTCCCTATGCTTTAGAGAAGAATTACATCTTTAGATTATGATTTCCAGGTATGAGAAATCCACTGCAATCTGTATCGATGTTTTAACAGTAATTTGCACTATAAAACTCACATCCAGTATAAATTCATGTCTTATCAAGTTAGATACCTGTTCTGGACTACAAGGTCCTCTACTGCGTAAGTATTTATGGACTGCAATCTAACATTCTTCTTAAGAAGCTAAATAAATTTAACTCTATGAGAAGCTGAAGTAATTTTTTCTTCTCTCTGTATCTTTTATGGCTATTCCCTGAATACCCCTCATACCCTTGAATACTCCAAGACAGACATCATTCCATCATTAGTGAATTTCAAGCAGACCACTTATTTAACATCTACAGTTTCCTAAATGACAGACCCCCCTGCAAGCCCTATGCTTGGAGAAAAAAAGAAATTTAGAAGTCATTGATATTGAGATTGTTCCGTCACAAACTGATGTTGAGCCAAAAGACTATTCAAAGAGGTTCCACACTGATAAGGGAACAATCTGTCATAAAATTCTCACTGGCATGAAAATACAAAAATCATACACCTATAGATGACCATTGTACTTAGCCACCAAAGAACAGAACTCCATACAACTGCAGAGTGATCATTCATGTAAAAAGGATATGTATGTTGTATGAAGTCACAGTCAGAGTACCTGCACCTATGGTTTGGCATATGACTGTATGAATTTAAAAGCCCCCCACAAAGAAAAGAACAATTATCCTGGCATTATCTTCAAGATAATGTTCTTTCAGCTGGTCCTCCATATGAGATCAAAAGAAGAGATCAACCAGTGAAAATTATGGCCTTCCAAAATCTTCAGGGCTTTGGTGAATACTCATTGAATAGAATGACATCCCAAACACTGAATAGTTTCAACTCATTATGATTTGGAGATAACAAGACATACCCTGCAAGCTGAAGCACATGCGCTGTTCTCTTTCCTGAACTGTGGCAAGATGGATTATCGTCTAATAGGTTTCACCAAATCCAATACAGAATGTTCCCTATTCCATCTATGCATAAGGAATTAGAACATATAAAAATACTTGCCTATGGCTCACATGACTACAAACTATGCTCCTTGTGCCTAGCAAAAGCTCCTAGCAACCTCACAGAGTGACATCTTGTGTGAAGAATCCTGGCAAGACTAGACCAGGGCAACAGGTTGGGAAGTGGTAAAAAGGCGAATCAAATCAAAAACCAAATACTGAATATGCTATCATGTTGGGAGGGAAGATGATATGTTTGACATACACATATATGAATAAAATATAAATAAAACACTCTCTGTGTTGCAGGTGATATCGTCATTTGAAGGCAGAAACGGATACACACCAGCACCTTGATGTCTTTTTTGAAGTGAGGGACCCAGAAATGAACACAGGATTTGAGGTGACCAGTACAGTGGGACAATCACTGCCCTGGTCCTGATAAGCCACACTGTTCCTGATGCAGGCCAGGATGCCGTTGGCCTTCTTGGCCACCTGGGCACACTGCTGGCTCATATTCAGCTGCTGTCAACCAACACCCCCAGGTCCTTTTCTGCCTGACAGCTTCCAGCCACTCGTCCCCAAGGCTGAAGCGTGGCAGGAAGTTGTTCTGACTCCAGTGCAGGACCCGTCACTTGGCCTTGTTGAATCTCACACAATGGGCCTCAGCCCATCGATCCAGCCTGTCCAGATCCCTATGAAGAGCCTTCCTACCCTCAGGCAGATCACCACTTCCACCCAACTTCGTGTGGTCTGCAAACATACTGAGGGTGCAATAGATGCCCTTGTCCAGATCAATGCAGATATTAACAGAACTGGCCCCAGTACTGAGCCCTGGGGAACACCACTTAAGACCCTCCAACTGGATTTAACTCCATTCACCACCATTCTTTGGGCCCAGCCATTCAGCCAGTGTTTTACCCAGCAAAGAGTGCAGCCATCCAAGCCATCAGCAGCCAGCTTCTCCAGGAGAATGATGTGGGAAATGGTGTAAAATGGCATAAAAGGCTTTACTGAAGTCCAGGTAGACACCCATCCACTAAGTTGGTCACCTTTTCCCAGAAACAGATCAGGCTCATCAAGCAGGACGTGCTTTTCATAAATGCATGCTGACTGGGCCTGATCACCTGGTTATCCTAGTGACAGCACTCAAGGTGATCTTCTCTGTAACCCTCCCTCGATCCGAGGTCAAACTGACAGGCTTGTAGTTTCTTAGATCCTCCTTTCAGCCCTTCTTGCAGACTTTTACCATCATTTTTCCCAAATAAAGCAGACAAGGAGATCTCCCCAGCACTGACAGACAAACCCCAGCACCGACAGACAAACCCCAGCACCTCAGATGAGGCTCAATAATGACACAGGGTCTACAGATCTTGCATTTGGAGTGAACCTCCCCACTTTCCTTCCTCATGAAAGGAGGGGCGAGGGGGACACACCAACAAACAAACGAGAAAAACCACCACCAATCCACCACCGAACTCATCTATACATACAGTTTATCCTTTAAGTAACAAGTAGCAAGGAAGATAGGTCAAGAATCAATAAATTGGAGTATATACTGTGAGTACCTGTGAACTTCACTGAAGAAAGAACAGGAAAGTATCTAATGAAAACATCGATATCACATACATAGTTTCATATGAATAGAATGCTATCCAATGTGTCAAGTGACAAGGTATCTTCAACAAAGACCTTCAAGACCACTTTAGAGAATGAAGATAATTACTGAGGACTTGCATTCCAATTCACTGGTATTGCAAACTAATATTTATGACCAAGTTAGTAAGGTTATGACTGATTGCAACAAGAATCATCACTATGGAAAGAAGGTTTATTTAACTGTTGTAGTAACGCCAGTTTAGCCTTGGATGTAAGTATTTTTGCTAACCAGAGGTAGAAAAAAACTAAAGATGATTCTTTATAATGATGCATTCATAGCAATGTGAAACACTCATTAATCCCTTGCCTTCATTATGCACTATGCAGGGTATCAGATCTACATTCAGTTTTGTAAATAAAATACAATGGAGAATGAACTTAATCTGAAGAGTTCCAAACGTATTACTGCGTAAGAAAGAGTACATCTTTCACATCACTGTGAAAAAGTCTTCCATAAAACTTCATCTACGCAATGAACTCCATCAAACAGAGGCAATCTAAACTGACTCCTCTTCCTCCATCAAGCTGAAATTAAAATACTAACCAAAGGTCCAGTTCTTCAGCCATCACAACAGTAGGACAATTATATTAAACTAATAGAACCGCTCACTTCTGCAATGAGTTAGGATCTGCAGGGGGTGAGGGTTATTTTAGAGACAGGAAACTAACTTGGTTTTCACAACAATCACTTCTCACAAAAGTGGAACAAGATTAGTGGAGGTTATTTGTTATTTAAGTCCTAGGAATTGGATGATAGATGCTTTTCCCACAAATTATTATATTTTGAAATTTAATTTCAACTTACTCAGACTTCTTTTCACAAGTCTTAGAGGACTCTTCTATTTTTTTTTCCAGTTCCAAAACAAGTTCCTCTTTGCTCAAAAGGGTTTGCTGTGTCTGAATCAGTTCTTCTATTACAGTTTTCAACCTGTAAGACATAGATTTCAGAAACCTGCACTGTGAACACACAAACTGCAGACATTTGGGAACACTGTAGGGTTTTTTCGTGATGGTGAAAAGGAGCATTAATCTTTAAATCATCTTACTCGCTGCTTGGTGATCTTTTCTAGTGTATTTACCATTACATTATGTTATTAACCCATACTATTACAGACCCCGTACTAGCCTCTGTGAACATACAATGTTACAGAATGATCTGCTGCCTGCAGGTTCTCCTATCAAGAATTTTTTTCCAGAATGTGTGATGACTTTTGTGAATTAATATCTTCCTAATATATTGCTAATTTATGAGATGTTTTACGAAAGATGAAACCTTCCAACTCCTGAAGTGCATGATAAACAAATACACTGAATCAGTAGTTGGGCTTTATTCATCTACAGAAGTAACAAAAATACAGATTGACACTTTCTGTTACATGTGATCCATTTATTTTTCTCTACAATTCATTTTTTTAAGCCACACAATTTTTGGTAGTGGTTAAATCACAGAAAAGATAAAACTTGTGCAAGAACACTCAGTACTAAGAGGGAAGGCATTATTGCACATTAAACCCATTACTGACACGTTGCAATTACGCTGGCAAACATCCCAATAACTAAAATGTCATCAAATGCACAATAACATTTCAACTCTGAACAATGCAGATAAATTGCTTACATAATGAAGACTTCTAAAATGCCTATCAAAATATGTATGTTGACTTCAAGCAATTGATAAACCAGGAGAATTTTTTTTTCTCCCAGTAAATAAATAATTGTGCACATCTTATATCCTTCTCAGGATTCATCTATATATCTTACTCTACTTCCTCTGTATTTTGAAGCCCAATTTCAATTTAAAAAGTTTTTGAAGTAAAGATCAGAACAAAGGCAAAATACATATAGTACTTTCCACTGCACAGATCTATTGCACAAAACCATTCCAGACTGGGGAGTAGAACAGGCCAACTTACAGTGATTTACACGGGCTCTAGATATCTAGGAGTCATGTTCTATGTCCATATATATAAGACTTATTTATTTGATTCTAAACATTGAGTTAGTTCTCTCTCTTCCTCTTGATATATCTTAAACAATGTTAATTAAATACATTCTTTAATCGGATGGTCCTCAATCTTACTGTCGAAGACAAATTACTATTAAAAAGCCATAAAATGAATGATAAAAGTTTATTTTTCAAATGAACAAGCAACTGCATGTGTTTAATTTGAGATAAGGGGAATACTTAAAACATTTCTCTCAAAATAACACCCCCACACCTTAATTTTTAACAGATATTTTTATTGGTTTTAGGCTATCACAGTCTATATGCTGAACTTCTCAGAAATGGCAATTTTCTTAGACCGGGTTTCCAATTTAATATCATCTAATTTCTTTCTTTTAATAACTTGCTAAGAAAGTAATTACCGATTTAACTGCAGATACGATTTTTGATCAGCTTTCTAATCAAAAATTTAATCAACAATTGACTGATTAGAAGCAGATGTTATATCTAATAATTAAGCACCAATATTCAAGAAATTAAAAGTAAATTAATGAGATTGTTCATCACTGGATGAGTGTATACATGCAGAAACAACACATTAAAATATTCTACCATTTCAAAATTATCACATTTTATACTACATCATCAGATTGAAATAGAAAGTTGATGTAGTTCTCCCTAAAACTTCTGAGACACTTCAGGATGTTTTTATTTATCTAAAAGAAAACCATATACTCATTAAACTACCTCCTCTCCTTGTATTCAACCTCTATTTTCTGTTTTAAAGACTAATTTTCATTTAAACTGGCTAGAAATGACATCCCTGCATTTGCCTTGCATCATCTTGGCTGCAGTTTTGTCAAAGGAAGTTTCTTGTGACCTCGTATTAGCCTCCTGGATAAAATCACTTTACGAAAGTGGTTTTTTATTAGTCACTATAATCCTTATTAGCTTTAACAACCACACAATCCCAAACTATCAGGCCTCAGTGGTATGAGAACACAAAAAATGAGACCAAAAAAAATTTAGAAGGCAGACATGCTCAAACTAAGTTCCAGTTACCTGGAAAGCTGCCTTTCTTATTTCTTTAGTCATTAGCACCACCTGCCTCAAGTATCAATAAAAACAAATGATGGTACATACAGAATTCATAATTCCAAAAGATTTTTTAAAATTACTTTGCATATCAGTTCATATGCCCACTGATCAACACTTACCTCACTCTGGTTAACTGTTCTTAGTTTTTAATGCATGCATCTTCGTAGCATAAACTTTCATTACGTTACATTTTTCAGAATATCTCATTATTAGGCACTGACAGTCAATAACATCAGGAAACACCATACCTCTCTCATTACTTAGAAAGGTTAGCTAGTTAACACTGAGCTTTAAGTACTTCCCTCTAAGAAAACTTTATTCATAAATATAAACTTACCTAAAATGTAAAAGTGAGCCAGTTTTCTCATCATGTTTGCATGAAACATATTTTATGAAAACCATTAAATGGTAATGTATGTGTAAAGCTGTCATTTTCCCTCATATACTCAATAGAACTGATCCGGCCAAAAATTATTGATTCTGAACCAATATATATCTTTGGACCTATTAAAAGACCCATGAAATAAATCCACTAGGTGTACTGGATTTATAATATTTGGTAGATACCGCAGGTAGTCGTCCTCTGCAGAAACGTAGTAATACAGGATTTTGAAGATTCAAGGCCGTGATCGCAATACTAAAGATCAACAGTCAAACTTCTGATCATGCACAGTAAGTTGATACTAATATCTGTGAGTTTTTTTGGCTGTAGTGGTTTTAAAGCAAGACTATTACAAAATATATCTTAAACTGTTAGCAAGGTATATGAGCAAAGGCAATTACAGAGAACTAAGTTCTGAAAGGAAATGTTCTCACCTGTACTAAAAACCAACTAAAGGAAAGGTCAAAAAGGATAAGAATAAACAGGTTTTACAGTGGAACTAGTGGAGCTTCACAAGTATCTGCACAGCCTAGCATGTTAATAGTAAGCCAAACAAAAGGACAGTTTAAAGAGTGACAAAGAATGCTGACCATATTTGAGGTAGAGGGAAGGGACTGAATGTGAAGAATACAAAAGGGTTATTCTGGGTCTTAGGATACTCAATAACTGGACTGTCATTTAGAAGATTAATTTCAATGCATATTGAAATAGGCAAATACACAGGGAGAACACCAACCCAAAGCTTTATTTATGTAGTGAATATCTCTAAACTGACCATTACCACTCCGAAATGAGATCCTGGAATTACAATAGATGATTCCTTGAAAACACTGGCTTGACACACTGCAGTAGTCAGAAAATCAAACAGAATAATTCTCTAGGATTTTTTAAAACCAAAGCAGAACAAAAATACAGGAAAACTCAATATGCCTCTCTCTAAACTATTCATCTCGATTACATGCATAATTCTGGTCATTCACCTCAAAAACAATACAGAAGGTATTTCTCTTTTTAAGCCATGTAAGAAAGAATCTTTGAAAAATTATAATACTTTATTGAAAATGGAGATTCAGTATATATCTATTTTTCCTGTTACTGTGCTGAGCTACATCTAGATGTACAACATCTAAACAGCTTAAGCAGGAATAATATCAATTTAGTAATGATGCAGAATATATTATAAACAGAAACTTGTTTAATGGGAAGGAAGGGACTTTTATTATTAAGGGATCTTTTATAAGAAAGGTTAAACTACTTCAGGACTAAGGAGTCTCACAAAGAAGGCTGAAACTTCATATTGAAAAGGTTATTTCAATACCTATTAAGGAATAAATTCACAAAAAGTAGATTGCATGGGAAAAAAGCGTGGATGATTAATGACCTTGAAAAGGAATAAAATAATAAAATCCAGAAATTCCGTCATGTTGAGAAAAAACAGGGATTAGAATAATCTGCAGAAGACAATGAGTTGTGTTTACATTTGAAATAACTCACTGCTAGTAGGACTCACTATGATTTTTATTTTCAGATAAAACTACAAGAAGTAAGGATTATAGCTTGATTAAGTAGATGAAGATTGTTAAACAACTTTAAAAAGCCCACAACAGATCACTGGTATCTTATTTGGATCAAGTACGCTTTCTCAAGGAAAAAACTTTAAATAAGTCAAACAAGGACTGAAATACAGTAGAGACAACAAAAACATCACTGATCAATGAAATTCTGAAATTTCCATTTTAAATTGCTATGATCAATTAAAAAAAAAGTATTAGTAATAGTTGCAATCTCACAAGTATTGGACCATTTTATGTCAAGAGTTGAGGCTGATAAATATAGTAAGAACATGCAACCTCATCAGGAGATGTTCCCCAGTAGCAAGTGATTAAATGTGAAGATGGTAAAAGTAATGAAAATGTTTGAAAGAGTAAATTTATATTAGATATAAGGAACAAATTCTTCCCAGAGAGGGTGGTGAGGCACTGGAACAGGTTGCCCAGAGAAGCTGTGGGTGTTCCATCCCTGGAAGTGTTCAAGGTCAGGCTGGATGAGGCTTTGAGCAACCTGGTCTAGCGGAAGGTGTCCCTGCCCATGGCAGGGGGGTTGGAACTAGATGGTCTTTAAGGTCCCTTCCAACCCAAACCATTCTATGATTCTATGATTTAACTCGGCAATATATTAACAAAAAACAGACAGAGGCAGTTTATCACCCTGAACAGCAAAAAGCTCCATTAAATGCAATACAACAGCTACATCTGTGTAAGTTAATATATTTTAAAGGTTACAATAATTAGTAAGAATTTCATTTGGAAAACAAAAGCAAGCACTTATAATACAAGTGAAATAAACATATTCATGAAAATTTTCCGCATGGCAATTTAAATACTGTCTACATCACTGTATTCAGTGGTTTCATTAAAATATTTCAGTATTTTTCCTGGAGTACTGAATGTAGAAACACTTTTGGAAAGATGAATCAGTGTATTCCCACGGAGGATTCATGATGGATTTGGGGCTTTGCATAAATTAAATGGCAAGGAGAGGAACACATATTAAAAGTGCTGGCAAGTTTTTGGGGAGAGTAGGGAGGAGTATTTTGTGCAAAGAAAGAATGAAACCAGCATGAAAAAGAGTGTATAGCATAAAAATATTACTTTTAGTAACTGGACCTTAAAAAAGATGACACAGGTATATGATGAACTCAGTGAGCCTAGACATAATGTATAGCAGCATTTCCAAAGGATGAAAGGTTTATAAAGACAGACTTACGTGGCTTGTAAACTTTCTGCTGTTAGATTATTCCACATGATCTCATTAGCTTGAAGGTTTTCATTTTCCTCTAGTAAAGATGTATCAAACTCTATTTCTTGTTCAACAACTTCTGCTGACCTAATTCAGTAAATAAACGTTGATTTTTCAAAATTAACATGTAACTTTGAGTAGCCCATAAAGCAGATCATTATGTTTGAATTATTTTAATAACAGATATAATTAAAATTACATATTAAATAAAAGGTAGCAACTGGATACATATTCTCTTTTCTTTGAATGAAGACATAGTCTTAAAATCATGCTAGATAATAAAATGACATACAGTTCTTCGAATCAAGACCACAGCATAACCCAGGTGCTCAAGCAGTATCAATGTGAATGGGTCTGCTCTTAGCTGACCCTGCTATGAACCTGCACGTAACAATTCTCAATTTGCACATAGCAAAAAATATAATGTAAGAAGTCTTAAGAGTATTTCTGCACATACTAATAGAGAGTAACAGTTCAATAAATGGTAAATATAATTTATCTTCAAAGTGAAAAACTTGCTTGCATTATCTGCATACTTTGTAGTCTCAAGCACTGTTCAAGCTGCAGTGACTGCAGAGCACACAGAGGTAGCTAGAATTCACTTTAAACTCGAATTTGGGCAATGAAAGAAATAAAGTAGAGAAACTCAGTTTAGCCCGGAATGCAAATTGCAACCAAATACACAGTAAATTAGCTCACACTGAATCTGGACTGTATAGTCTGCTGTCACTACCAAAATTATGGCTCTTCACACATAATTAACAGCAAGGGGAGTTTTGTTTTTCTAGAGCCAGCCAAAAAATGGATGGTTAAAGAAACAGGTTGAAAAGCACTTTCAGGGAGCTTTCTCTACACTCAAATAGAACAATTTTCAAATTATGATAAAGGTTTACACGTAACAATGTAAAAGGAACCAAACAGAAACAAATTCAACTCTGACCGCTTAAGCAGTGTTGCAGTTTAATGCAACAATGTTCTCAAAAAAATGTTCTCAAAGCAATGTTCTCAAAAGAAACGTGAACATGGACACCAGGATGAAAATGTATACCTGTGAGTATCTATGAAGTCATTATACTCAGAGTTAGGGTCTATCTGTTCAACCGAGGTCTGGATCTCTTTATGGACATTCACAATCTCTTCCGTTACAAGACTGGTAATCTGGCTATACTCATCCAAGATTCCTTTCCTAAAGAGAAAAAAAAAAATCTAGTATATAACATGTCACTGAAGGCACAGATGGCACTGAAAATGCTTCCAACTTTCAATTCGGTGTTTCTACAAACTCTTGTTGCAACTGGCTAAAAAGGGAAAAATAAGACAATATATTCCTCAAAGAAATAACAGATCACCTGTGGCCTTTTCTTTACAGCTTGAGTGAGAAGTCTCTAAGACCATGTTCCTTGTATTGATTTCAGTGCACCTACAGACAGAGTAGTCAAACTAAAAACTGTAAAGATTACAAGGAAAAGGAATGTATACAGCCCACTGATGACACTCCTCTTCACAAAGGACTTACCATGCCTGTTATAACCTGACTACAGCTTTTCATGTCCTGACTGACAAAATAAAGAGATTTTGGCATAATGCAAAATCAGTCACAAAATAGTGTCCATTTGCTTTAAAAATGGGTTTCCTTGATTGTTTTAACTATCTTCTTTCACATATTCATTTTATGATACTGTCATTCAGACAAAAAATCACAAGTTAGCATATATTTACAAGAAGAAACAAAACTAATCAAGTTCCTGTAAGAAAGTACAAGGCAGCTAGACTTGTCTTAACCTGCTTCCAAGAGTGTGAATAGGTAACAATGAAAGAATAGGTGGTATTGTGCTACTATTCGCAACAGCATCCAGTAACACATCCTCAGAACATCCTCCTAATTCTCTTTAACTTTTAGCTTTCCACAAAAGAATCCTCACAATAATTTTCTGCTTCATTTTTATCTTTGGCAAACTTGTTAGCTTGCCAGGCTCTCAAGAATGGAGAGCTCTCCTAAAATACTGATGGATTTTGGCCAGCCCAGAGGAACATGCAGAGAAAAAAGTATCAATAGATTTTTTCCTGGATCAGATCTCAAGTTATGTTTACTCTGTAAAAGAAGTTCTGTGACTGGATTATTTCAATACTTTTTCTGAGGAGAAAGCAGACAAGAGAAGGCATGAAATCTTGCCTTGCCTGTGAACGACAGGTGTGTGAAAAAGTTCCACAAAATAGTTCAAAGGGTATGATGAAAAGATAGGTGAATGTTAACTACAGCGATGCCATATCAAAAAGAAAGTGTTGCTGTGTCAATTAAAAAAAAAAAAAAAGTCATTAGAAATGTTAATCTACACTTCTTTAAGGTTACTCAGGATTATTAAGGAAGTATGTCTCACACAGATGGCTACATCAAGATCCAAACATGAAATCACCACCTCTTTTTGTACACCAAAAGTACTAGAAAGGAGTAATTTTCTAATACATTCAGTTCTCCTAAAAATGTCTATGTAGTGACAAAAATATTTTTTTACAGGTTTTTACTCCAGATACAGTGAAGGTTTGCAGGTTCAATAGGTTCTTGCTTCATCATAGAACTCTTCAATGAATTATCATATCTCACAATTCTGAAAAATCCCCTCAATTACAGCACACAGATTTAACTGTAGCCTTTTGCTATGATTTTACATATAAATTAAGATTAAAAGGACTGTACAGAGACTACTACAAAGGTATATTTCACTTCCATACCTGCAGAAGAATCAAAGGAGTTAATAGAATACCTCATAGGGCAGTTAATGGTGTGTGCAACATGTAAAGTGTGAAATCCCCAACTATCCCTCACTTCCTTCACTTGTCTGCTGAAGTCAAGATGGACACAGACTTCAGAGAAGGTAAGAAAATGAGTTAAAAAGGAGTGCCTAACATCTAAATGAACAACACCTACCGGAAAAAATAACTGCCTTTTTTTTAATCTAAGTGATTTAAATAACTTAAATAACCAAAGCAAAAGACTTTCAGAACAGACTCCCTAACCAACTCCCATTCTTCAGGAAAGACAAAGAGGCAGCATAGTGGTTACAAACCAGAAAAGAGGGCTTAATGTCCTCATTGTCTGCTTTCCAAGATCATCAGTTTGCACATCTTCTGCAAGGATGTAAAAAATTATCTTTCAGGAGAAACATACTTATATGTTTATGGTTGGATTCATTACAGTAAGATCAGGCTTATATGATTCTGTTAATTTTGCCACATACAAGATTACCCATGCATCTGCCTGGCCCTCCTCCACAATGGCTTTCAAGACAGTTGGCCACTTTGAGGCAAATCTGTTGGTGGTGGAATGCCAGAAGAATAAGACTACCAGAGGGTAACAAACTTGCCATAGTATACCAGCTGAAGGACAAAGCATGAGATCAGCTATAAACACTGCAGTTAATCTGTATGATTAAAGTTTTATGAGAAGACGGTGTTTTGCTAGAATGATTAAGTAACCACGCAAAACTACTGCCTGCATTATTTGTACAGACTTTTCTATGCACAATTACTATTAATTGAAAGATGAAAACATCTTTTTTCCACTATCCTTTGGTATAAAACTAATTAATCACAGTTTATTATTTTCAAATAATCCTAGAAATTAATTAGAATACTACACACAAAATTCCACAAGTTAAAAATATATAAGAATACATCTTACAGAGCTTTAATCATTTCTTCTTGCATCTTCTGTAGTGAATCAAGTAACAGAGGAAGTGTAGTATCATAATACTGGTGCTGATGTAACTGTGCTCCTTTCAATGCCAACACATACTGATTATGCAACATATGAAGCTTCATAGTGGCTTTATCACATCGATCTTTGGCTTTCTCGGTCTCCTTTCCTATGAGAAAACAAAAAAATGGAAAATGCATGTAGTGAAAACCTGCAGAAGATATAAACCGAGTACATTTATGGTAAACTTGCACCTTTTTCTACATTACTGTTTTCAATATACTTCCCTGAAGAAGGTAAAATCTGACCTTTTTCAGGTCATTAGTAAGACCAAATGTCTTGGTTTTATCATTAAAAGTCTAAGTAAGAAAACACTGCTGTATTTTCTTTGAGTAGAAAAGTGAGAATTCTTTATCTGAAAGTGTATGAAAATCACTACCTACACAGGTACAAAACTAATATAACTGTGAAGATTAAAGAACAAAACTCATACACTAACTATTGCAAAGCTAATCTTCTATTTGCCTCAGAGCAAATAAACAGTTTTTAATGAAGAAAGTAAGAGATGTCCTACTAGCTGACATGATTCATTGACAATCATTAATTATGAGAAAAAATCTACTGCTACATATCATCCCAATAAAGCAATGGTGCTGTCTACGTATGAGTAGCTGAACTCACACACTGTTAGTCCTGTCCACAATGGGCAGCTTCTCTATACAACTTAACATTTCCTTCTACAATCTCAGCTCTCCACCGTCAGAGATCAGAGGTCCTATAGCTCATGCTGACAAGACAGGTCAGTGCTGAACCTGCGAGATACAAGGTACTTGAAGATGTCACCTATTCTATTCTTTGCCACAGTAATTCACAACTACGTGGCATAAGTTTTTGTGATTCCACTAAGATCTCCACTGGCAAACAACTGCAAATTCCTGCTACCATTCAGGTCTGGGGCTATACTACCTGAAAGCACTCCTCTAACTCCCACCCCCTTCACTCTGAAATGTAAATCTTTATTGCTTTAATTTATAGCCTTATTTACTTCATATACACCATGGGTATAAGAAACAGATTCTACCATCCTCTGCAATCCATAGTCTATACATCACATAACATATTCTCCTATTCTGACTAATCTTCCAAATTTCGTACTAACAGACCTACAGGTCTTCCCATGTAAGCCCTATCTGTAGTTGACTCGTTCACAGTCTTACACAAGTGCAACTCAAGGCTCAAAGCCAAATAACAACTTTATGTTCTAGACACTTCTAGCTCATTAAAAAAAAAAGAAAAAAGAAAA